GCCTATCCTGCCGTTCCTGGATCTCTCCGACGATGTCTCGCACCTGCAGGACATCGGTGTTCAGCATGCAGCAGATATCTGCCAGCAGTTCTCCGTCTCTCTCTACCACTCTCAGGAAGTCATTCCAGTCATCTGCTGACTCTATTCCCTTCTCCTGTAGTGAAATAGTAATAGCTCTCCCAAAACTCAGGTGGGTCTCCGCGCCCTTCCTCACTATCTCTAGCGACTCACACGCCTTTTCAATGTGATCCGCTACTGTTTTCTCTATCACCTCTCTGTGTTCGCCGCGACTCGAGCCCCCTCTAGATCACTTTTGATCCTGGGGCCTATCTCTTTCACAGCCTCGATTGCCTTTCCTATCTCTTCTCTCAGCATAGTGACTATCTCTCTACCGTTACCGACGGTACTCATCTCATTTGCTGCGGTGCCGTCCGTCTCCTTGGCCACTGACCTAGCCATCTCCACGGTACTGGCACCTTTCTGCTCTTGCTGCCATCACTCATATGACCCCACTGTTAGCGACGCCGTTTTATCGTCTTACGCGCGTCTGAGATCGCAACAGAGGGCAGCACTGCGCCTTTCTCCCTATTCGGCGCCTCAGTGCTTCCTTGGGTACTGTAATCACCTCAGTCTCTGCGATTTGGCTTGGCCCCCATGTAGTGTGAGGCCCGATGATCACAGTGAGCTGCGGTGTGAACAGCAGTACCACAATTATTTATTAGGAAAAATATTGCAGAACAGAAGATTGAAGAGATGAACAGTTAGAGAATAATCGTAGTTGAGCCCTGGAGAGGAGTTGACGGAGTCGATCGACGAAGTCCTCGATTGTTTGATCCTTGGCGGCTGGCGTTGACGGCGAGGAAATGGAACGGTCCTGCCTAGTGTCGGCCCCTTTTATAGGTCCGCTGACTCCTCTTTTGACCCCGAAACTGCCCCGCGCGAGTGACGCTCTCGGAGATCGCCAGGCCTCGCCCGCGACCCCGCCTGATCTCCACAACATCTTAGGATAGGAAGGGCCATGGAATCGAATAGGTGGGCACTGACAATAGCATCTTTGTGAGAGCTCTTTGTTTTCTTCGCTGCACCCTCGACATTTCTCTAGGCTGCCTGTGACGCTTGCTTCCTCACTGCTTAGCTTTGATGTTTGGTAGTTCATCATATTGCCTTCCCGACCTCCGCGAAATAGCCGGAGTATTCTGATATGTTTGTACTATTGAGCGAGAATGTGGCATCATGATCAAATTCTCCTTCGCAAACATCATCTTCGTCGTTTTCGGCTGCAAATGGAGCTTTTCACGCTCGCAACTGAAATTATCAAGCACACGCTCTTATTGTTCTATGTTTGGTGTTAGTAGGCATGCAGCAACGACGTCAGCTAAGCGGAGATGATGTGATTACCGGCCCTGGTTCTCTTGATTGTGAAGTTGCCGCTATCCATTACCATCTCTAAGGGGCAGAGCTGAGTAGGTCGAGCGAAATGATGCCATCCTGTCGAACCCTTCTCTCAACGACAGTGGTGATCTCGTAGATTGGTGAGATACTCATTGCGAAGTTGCTATAGAGGTCTCGAAGACTTCTTATGCTCTTACTAGGGAGGTCGTTCAGGACGTGGAGCGCTTTTTGAAAACGGTTTTTTGCATGATGTGGGGTTACGTGCATGGAGTACCAAACTGGTGTTCATTTTTCCTGAACGCCTCTGGGAATGCCAAAAATGGAGTGAGAAAAAGAAGTGCGCGAGTGAAAACGACTGTTTTTTTTGAGCCTGAATGGGCTCTAAATCACTCGCAACTTCGGCCAGTTGCTACCTATAGGGTCCTTATAAAGGTACTGGTATCGATGAGAAAGTAGTAGTCGCCAATGGGGTCCTACTTGTGTGCCTCGCTAGTCACATCACATTTGGAGCCAAGTCTTTCTCCCACTGGAGTCGTTATGTACATTCGTTTGAGGGACTTGCAGGGCCATTCTGACGCCAGATTGGGTTGATGTCCAGAAATTCAGAGCTGCTCAGAATCGTGATCAGGACCATCGATTACCCCTATAGGCAAACTTTCGGCCAAAAAAATTTTTTTGACTTTTTTTGAGTTGTGATAGACCGACCATTTGGTCGTCGGTGATGACCGGAGACCCACAACTTTGGAGTTGCGATGACGTAGCGATGACGTGGTGGGCCGCCGGGCAGCCGCATCGCGGATTTGGTGCTCATAAGGTCCATTCGTACTTGGCATGGGCATGGGTGGCAGAACAAGTGAAAAACCATCCTGGACATTTGGCGACCACCCTGGACGGCTCGCTAGTCAAACGAAGATGTCGTCCTCTCCTACCAAGAGGAGAGAGACTCATCCGATTTCTTCATCAAATGCACCTGGAGGAATGATGACTATTTTGTTCTTTTTTTCGATGGCGTTTATGGTTGTTGCTAGTTTTTTGTTTCCGTACCACTGAATGAGGGTTTCGATAACCAGCAAAAGTACGACTTCAACAAAGTGACTCTTGAGCATAACCCAATGCACAGACTCAAAAAAGTCAAAAAAATTTTTTTTGGCCGAAAGTTTGCCTATAGGGGTAATCGATGGTCCTGATCACGGATTCTGACACTTATTCTTGACGTCAATCCAATCTGGCTCAGAATGGCCCCGCCCTCCTGCAAGTCCCTCAAACGAATGTACATAGCGACTCCAGTGGGAGAAAGACGTGGCTCCAAATTGGAGATAAATGGCACTAGAGCTGAAAGTAAATGCCATAGTCATGATCAGGGCACCGAATAACATAAGCTCAGCTTTCAGACAAGTTCTTGCTTAATGGTATGTGAAATCGAAATTGCTGAATAGCACCGACTACGGGCTATAACTATTTAGGATGTGCCTATAAATGGCAGATATCCGAGTAAAATTCATTAACAGACGTATATGGAAGCGACAACAACGGAAAATAAAAATGCAAAACGTTGGCGCAGCGCGAGGGGAGTCGAACCATCATCCCCCATCCCCACTGCCTGCTTGGGAATCCTCCACGCTATCCACTAGGCCATCCGATCGTTGGCACAGGCACCTTTTCGATTGCTTAAGAGCCCATTCGAATTGGCCGTCGACTCTTAACTACGTGCCACAAGTAAGACCCCATTGACGACCACTTTTCTCATAGGTACCAGTACAACCTTTATAAGGACCCTATAGGCAGCAACTGGCCGAACTTGCGAGTGATTTAGAGCCCATTCAGGCTCAAAAACAGTCGGTTTCCATGGACTTTTTTTCACTCCATTTTTGGCATTCCCAGAGGCGTTCAGGAAAAATGAACACCAGTTTGGTACTCCATGCACGTGACCCCACATCATGCAAAAAACCGTTTTCAAAAAGCGCTCCACGTCCTGAACGACCTCCCTAGTAAGGTTTCACGCACTGGCGGCCCGAAGCTTTGATCGCCGCTTCTGTTTTCAAGGGGTCAGGAATCTCTTTCATGTCGAAGAATGTTAACATAACGGCAGATGGAACTCTCGCCATACTTCAGTGAACATTCTTCTCCATGTGTATATGTTCAATCGTGCCGAATCCTCCTGAAAACGGTGCTTGTTCACATGGCTGTCCTTCATCCAGTGCTTTGCCGATCCCGGAGACTGTGACGAGCTGGTAAATTACAAACACTGAAGGATTGGGCTATATTGTCAATGTCGGGCAAATCTCCCCTCTTATGTAGCAAGAAAGTCGTTTTCCATGAGGCGGGTACCTAGCACTGCGAAGAGTACAGCGCGTGGAGAGTATTAGAGACAGTTTTATATAATCTGGTGTAATCCTGTCGAGATTGGTGCTGTATGATTTTTCAGCAACGAGATGGTGCATATTTTGGAAGGGGCGCTGAAGGGAAGACTGGCTAATGCCGTTTGGACTCCAGAAATTTCGGCTCCGAGCTCATTTTAAAAGTGGCAAGATCACCAAATCCGCTAAAAACTTGTACATAGGGGTATTTCAACATCCTGATCACAAATCTTCTTCTTCTTCTCCCTAGCGTTAGTCCCGCGCCGTCGCAGGGTCCGCTGTTCTTGTTAGACGTCGCCATTTGTTCCGATCTCTCCCTCTCTCTCTCTCCTCTCTCTCTCTCTCTCTCTCTGACAGGAGCTTCAAAAAGCTGCGTCTTCGAAAGACGGCTTCTGAAGGCACAACACTCTTTTCGTCGTTGATATAACCGTCTGGGTCACCTCCTAAGCTTGTCAGAATGTTGTTTGCAGAGACAATCTGACACCTTCGAACCAAAAACACTTCGTCGGGCGGAACTCTTCACTGCTACATAACTAGCTCACTAGCACATTAGCTGGCTCGCCAACCTGGAGCCATACTACGACAATGAAAGCATTTTTGCAGATTTGTAATACATGGTCGTTGCCTCGGCAGGCATCTAACGCATGGTTCTCCAGAGTGTAGACACAAGTGCAGACTATCAACGACTTTGCCGGCCCCGCCTGCTCCTCATTCGACCCGTGTTGCGAAAGTGGTGTTTAAGAGGCCCGACACCTCCTAAATGCTATTTTGTAGCGATTTTGACAGGAAAATTGTGGAGCGGAATTAGCCTCGGCTCCAAGTTTGAATGTTATGTTCCTGATCATGACAGAGAGTAACCCCTACAGACAGAGTTTCAGTGAAGTAACCCCTACAGACCGAGTATCAGTGACAGTTTCTGTGAGATCATTAGAGCGGGTTTTCTGTGTTCAATTTACAGCTCAGTAACCGGCAAAATCATTTAGAACACAGCTTCCGTCGTTCATTGGGACGTGCTAGCTGTCGAAGTATAGAACCTGCTAACCACAGCTTCACGAGAATAGCTGAAACTGATCCATTGATGAAAAGAGAGTCATTCCCAAACGGAGTGAGTCTTTATTAACATTGTAGTTCGAGAAACTTACCTTACTCATCGTTTAATTCAAGGGTGTTTCTCATGATGGAGCACAAATTAAACCTCCCTCGATAATTTGGTGTCTTTTCTTGCTTTTCAAATGGGATGTGGCCACAGCGATGTTCTCAAAGGCGCTGTCCGACATTCTACAGTTTTCTAACCCTCTATTGTTGAGGTGCGTGGATAGATGAAATGTTTTTTGGCAAAAGCAGCTTGATTAAGATCGCTGATTCAATTCACGGAGGACTCTAAGAGACCACTCTGGGAAGGAATTTTCATAGCGTTCGCAATGTTCACAACGAGCGAGCTCTCGTCCCTACTGCAATCCCACTACTACTACCTTATGTATAGAGTTGGAACAAGAGTCCAAACGTGCCTCACGGCTGCGGTATACAGAAAAGTTGGTTTTTGCTTAATTTTTTTCGCATATTATTTGTTCGCTTCCTACGATTCTAAGGATATGTAGAAGATTTCTAGTCTCTTCGCCTATCCACCGCCGCTCGTCGGAGTAAAACTGTTGGTGAAATTGTTAACCTCATGTCCATAGATATTGATCGCTTCCAGCAAATTTCTCCTCAAACAATGCAGTACTGGAGCAATCCGTTGCAAGTAGGCTGATTTTCCTAAACATGAGAAGTTTTATCAGGAAAATTTTTATGTCGAATGTCGTGCGAATCTCTGAGGTCCCTCTCACATGGAAAAAGGCTGTTCATCTTCAATGTGATTAGCTAGTGGTGAAAATTACGTCGCTTATATCGTGCTTAGCGTCCATATTGTCGACATCAATGGGTAAATTTGCATTCTTTAATAGTTCCATCCCTGACTCCAGAAAAAAAAGAAGACGTACCTGGCACGTTAGCAGTACTGCGGTTGGCAGCAGCTGCTATTGAATATAATGCCACCAAGTGTGCCACACTTTCAGACGTCCGGATTCACTGCGATATCATCCTTTCAATTCTGAAAAGACGTGGGTGAAAGTATGGGGTAGCCAAGCGTAAACGAGGATAAGCACATTTGTATATAGTAGTCGGGGGAGAAAATCCCGCGACACCCCAAACAGAGTGACCAAGAGGCAAATCAAGGATTTTCAAACGTTTTGACCTTTCTCTAATTACCGTACTGCTACGAAGACACAGAAGGGGAATGAAATCAAGTGGACATTCCAGCGAATCACTTTATTCCTCCATTGTAAGAGGCTCCTCAATGAGAGTGGGATGAAAAAAGAGAAAGGTGTAGTAGGGAATTCAACCCGGGTATGGAGTTATTGCCTGAAATTAGAAGTATGAATAATTTGTGACTGTCATCAACACTTGAGTGAAGCTTACACACAGCCAATATATATGCACTGGAACTGGAGCGCAGAAACACCGTGGAAAACGAGAAAAAGATAATGAGCGAATGGGAGCCTTCAGCAAGCTTTCAGCTCTATAAACAAAATAGATGTATGCTCAGGTAACTTATCAACTCACTGTAGGTAGAAGAATCAATAAACCCTCTCACAAATAGGCGAATACTTCTCGTCGGTCACTCAGTTGAGCTAATCCTACAAAGCCACTCCATGATGTTGGATGTTGAAGACATATTTGTATCCATTTTCACGATCCTCATTCCGCGTTCGAATTGGGTATTCTTTCCTGACTTTCACCAAAGAGGGTCAGTCGGATCGCATCCTTCCGCGTGTGGAGTGGGTATTCCCTACTGCATTCTTCAAATGAGGAGCACTCGGATTTTCCCGCTTCTCCGAGCATCCACCTTCCGCGTGAAATGGGTATTCTCTTCTGGATTCCTCAAATAAGAGCCAGTCGAATCGGATCCTCCTTCCGCGTGTGGGAGTGATCATCACCCACTATATATAATTTGCTTCGTCTGTTTGTTTGTTTTTTTGTTTGTTTGTTTGTCCGGAAATTCGGTTCGACCTGAAGAACAACTTGGGAGGTCGGGTCAAGGTGGGGATGGGTAGGGCATGGGAGCAAGGTGTAAATAGCATCCGACCTATGGTAAGCCCCGCCCATAGTGGGCGGGGCAGGCCGGAGCCGTAGGAAAAACTCATAACTCGCTTCCAGAGCAGCCCA